GTCAGAGCCTATCTACAGATATTTCTTCTAAACTGAAACAGGAGGCTGGACAAGGTGGAGGAGCAAGAAAGCGCTATTCCCATGAGAGCAGAAGTGAGCTGGTCCATAGGAGGGTTGGGAGCAATCTGAAGTGGGTGCCGCTGGAGAGGAACATGAGGCTACAGAACAGCATTGTGGGCTGTGGTAAGGTCTGACATTGAGTGGGGATGACTGATCTGTACTGAGTTGGCTCTGGCTTGGGTGGGGAAGGCTGCTTTTGGGACATGGAATCCTGACACACTGTTTTTGGAGATCAAGAGGGAAAGGTGAAGAGAAATTGAGCCAAGGGGAATAACCTTGCTCAAAACAGTCTCCATTTAAGTCACTGATGCAAAGCTCTACGAAAAGCCAATATAAGAGGTCCAGTGGTCGCGCATGCCTTTAATTCCAACACTCAGGAGGCAGAGACAGACAGATCTCTTTCTTGAGTTCGAGACCACCCTGGTCTGAGTGAGTTCAGGACAACCAAGGCTACACAGAAAAACCCTGTGTTAAAAATGACAGACAGAAAAGAGAAAAGAAAATCCCATTATTTGGCTGGAGAGGCAGCTCAGCAGCTAGGAGCATCTGTTGCTCTTACAGATGACCCATGTTCAGGTCCCAGCGTCCACACAGTGGCTCACAACTATTCATGACTGTAGTTCCAGGGGATCCAATGCCTTCCAACCTCCACTGGTACCAGGCACATGTGTGATACACATACATAGATGAAGGCAAAACACTTATACAAATCCAAGATATCTAAAAGGCTGTTTTCAAAGCCAGTATCTTCATCAAAGACTTTAGTGTTTCAGTTACCCAGACCCAGGATCACACCTGCCACATGGCTCCTCCTGAGCACAGACACGTTATTGTATAATAATAATAAACCTGCCTCTCCTCTCTCTTTTCTTCTTTGTTCCCCCCACCCCCTGCAGTCCTCTGTATATGCATGTACTTCCCACACATGTAGGACAGAGGATAACCTGAGGTGCCACTCTTCAGGCTCCTTCCCCCTTTGAGACAGGCTCTCTCACTGACCTGGAGAGTTACAATGAGCCTTCAGGGAACTTCCTGTCTCCATCTCCCATGTCACCATCCCTGGGGTTTCAGGCCTGTGCACTATGCCAAACCCATGTCCTGACACTTGCAAGGCAAGCACTTTTACCAGCTGGGCCATCTCCTTAGTCCCTCGTCTGTCTTTTCACTGGCCCCACTTCCTCACCTCCGATGTCAGGCTTTCTTCGGCCTGAAGCTGGGCTTTGCCACATGTCTTTGGTTGGATTATCTTGGGGGGCATAATTATCTTCTCCATAATGTGGCAGTCTCTAACTCCATAATGTGGCAGTAACACTGTCCCAAAGTGGGGTGTGGTGGTGCACATAGGAGGAGAAGTCAGGAGAACCAGACGTTCAAGCTACAAAGCAAGCTCAAGACCAACCTGGGCTGCATGAGACTTCAAACAAACAAACAAACAAACAAACAAACAAACAAACAAACCTCACAGTGAGTTGAGCTTGATTTACCAGTAAGACGCAGGGCCTCAGGGATCCACATGGGCCCTTGACTGTGGGTGTGCTCACTCACATCCCCTCACCTCCCACATCACATCTGCTTACAAGCCTGTGGGTCTCTCAAATACAACATGGCCCAACAGTTTTGAACCAAGCCTGGCCTCAAACTCTAAATCTTCCTGCTTCTGCCCCCCAGGTGCAGGATTTACAAATATGAGCCATCACAGTCAACAATCCAAAACCTTTTGTGCGTGTGCGTGTGAGTGTGTATGTCAGAAGTTGATGGCAGGTGTCTCCTTCTTATTTTCTGCGACAGCATCTCTCACTGAACCTGGAGTTCAGCAAACCTCCTGTCTCTGCCTCTCTAGCACTGGGATGATGGACACCTGGCTTTCTTTTTCTCCTTAGATTTAAAGGGTGTGTGTGTGTGTTCATAGACTGGGGGGCAAGCATTTTATCAACTGAATCATCCCCCAACCCTACCCAACCCACCAAGGCCAAAACTTTCATCTTTAGTCATCCCAGGTGCCATACACAGCACCATTCTCTGCCCAGTCACTGCAGCCCTCCTGACAGAGACCTCATCCCTCCCACACTATCTATAAACTCCACCTTCTAATGGAGTCCAAGCTGGTTAGCTCTATCCATCCCTAGTGCTATCATCTGAGCTCAAAATATCATCAGGGGATGCAGATTTAATTGCTGCCCAGTGGGGCTTCTTGCTCCCTGTTTTCCCTGTCTTGTTTTTGTGCTTTAAATAGTAGGCCTACACACTTGAATACCTGGGCTCCAGCTAGTGGAAGTTTTGGAATCTTTAAGAGGTAGAGCTTCCTAATCTACATAGTGAATTCCAGGGCTACATAGTAAGATCCTGTTCTCAAGAAACAAAAGTGGAAATCATCGAAAATAACAACTGAGATGTCCCCCGACCTCTATATACATGCGTGTGTGCGTGTATATGGGCAGTGGGGGGGGCAGTATATGGGCACATACATACACACATACACACACACACGTACGTTTACCCTAAAGAAACTACCTAAACTACACGCTGGGCAAGCACTCTAACAAATGAGCATGTTCCTAGTCCAACTCTCCTTTCTCTAGGGATGACTTCAGCTCTGGTGTCCATCTGTCTCTGATATTGCCTAGCAGGTCCCCATCACACCACCTGTCCTCTCTCCTGGCAACTCATTGGCAAACTCATTCAGCCTTAATCTTTTTTCCCCCGTCAGCCCTCTTTCTACATAACCCAGCCTTCCTTTCTGCCCATATACATTTCTCCCAGCCTGATTCTCCTCATCCATTTGTTTGTTTCCTGAGACAGGCTGTCATTATCTGGCTGGCCTGGAACTCAAAGAGACCTGTCTGCCTGTGCCTCCTGAGTTCTGGGATAAAAGGCGTGCACTAGCATGCCTGATACACATCCATTTGAGAAAGAATTTAGTTTTGTTTTTATGTGTTCATGCGCACTCCCGTGTGTGCGTGAATGGATGCAGGTGCTAATGGAGGCCAAGAGAAGACGGTAGATATCCCTAGAGGAGAGTTGTAGGCAGTTAAGTGGGTGCTGAGAACTGAGCTCAGGTCCTCTGCAAGAGCAATATAAACTCTTGACCACTGAACCATCTTTTTAGCCCATCCACATCCCTGTTTATATCATTAGTTTGAGACAGGGTCTCATGTACCCCAGACTGGCTTCAAACTCTCTATGGAGTTAATGATGGATCCTCATCTCCTCTTGCCTGTACCCCCGAAGTGCTAGGAAAAGATGCTGGCATCATTATACACACACCCATTTTATGAGGATCCAATCCAGGACTTCTTGCATGCTAGGCAAGTTCTCTACTAACTGATGTACACTCCAGGCCCCTCCACATGTTTGACAGTCTCAAAAGTTCTCGATGGACACATCCTAAGGAATAAGATCCAAGTAGTTTTGGCTAGTTCTCAGGCACCCTGAATTATCTGATCTTTCCAACATCTTCTAAACTCACTCAGCTCTGCCAAAATTCATTGGGGCTCACTCTCAGGATGATCTCAAGTCAGAAACACAGAAAGAGAGATGAGCTCTGTGGGTACAGTGTTTGCCTACCATTCTGATGGCCCTGGATTCCATAACCAGCACTGTACACACTGGGAATAGTGGGGCAAGCCTGTAATTCCAACACTCTGGAGTTAGACACAGGAAGATCAGGAGGTCAAGGCCATTCCTGGCTACACACAAAGTCTGAAGACAGCCTGAGGTACATAAAAACCTGACTTTCTGGGTGGTAGTGGTGCACAACTTTGATCCCAGTGCTCAGGAGGCAGAGGCAGCTGGATTTCTCTGAGTTCAAGGCCAGCTTGATCTTCAGAGCAAATTCCAGGACAGTAAGGGCTACACACAGAGAAACCCTGTCTTGAAAACCAAAATAAATAATAAAAATACGTAGCTCTTGACCCCTAGATGGTGTCAGAAAATGAAAGATTTCCCAGAGCACATACATACTCAGCAGACAAGCTCAAAGGCAGTGCTTGTTCAAGCATCTCCACCCCAACAGAAAGAATGTGTCTCTGAACACAGGACTACATTTTCCTGCCTCCTCCCTTCCCTTGCCTACATACTTCCCACTTCTGAAGAATCCACAGCATGTTGGTTCTCTCGTTATGTCTGGGTCCTTAAATAAACTCAGGTTGTCAGGCTTGGCAAGCAAGCTTCTTTGCCCACTGAGTCATCTCAACAGCCCACTAATTCCAGGCAAGTTTCCAGACAAGAGACACCTCCCTCCTCCAGGGTCCCATTAAGACCCACCATTGGTCTTAGCTTTACGTGGCTCAGATTCCGGAAGGTTCTTTAAACATGACCTCCACTCCAAACCCATTTCCCCAGGTTCCCATAGCACTGCATCACTTCTCCAACTGTTACCCAGATGTCACTAGATTCAGCTCCCCAGGGGCAGGAAAGAACATGCAGAGGAGGCATACCCAACTCCAAGACTGGGCTGGAAGGACACCTTATCAATCCAGCAAGGAAGTGGAGTTCAGGGAAAAGACAGTAAGACATCACTGTGAACACTTACAGGTTGCTATGTTCTTTAGCTCTCATGGTGTGTTACCCAGCTCTTGCTTTCTGTCCCTGTCCCCAGGCAGACTGAGTCACTAATATAGGTAGCAGCCTATGTTCAAACTGCCTGTCTCTCAAACATGAACTGCTGTGTGTGTGTGTGTGTGTGTGTGTGTGTGTGTGTGTGTGTGTGTGTGACTGGGGACAGAATACCAGGAAAGTACTCAAACACAGTCCTGTTCAAGCAGAGCTAGGATACTGAACTTGCATGTTATCGTTTGAGAATTTCACATACATGTAAAGTGCTTTGAACAAACACACCCCCAGGCCCTCCCATTCAGTTCCTTCCCTACTCCCAGATCCTGAACATTTTTGTTTTTTGTTGTTGTTGTTGTTGAACAGGGTTTCATGTTGGCCTCAAACTTGTGTCAATCCTGCTGCAGCCTCCTGACTGCTAGGGTCACAGACCTGATCCATCACAGCTGGCTACCATCTTGAGCATGTGTGCATATGCACGTTGAATATGTTGCATGAGCCAGCTGTCAACCTCAGCAGTCATTCTTTAGGTGTTGTCTACTGATCCTTAATTTTAAATTTTTATCATCTTTAATTACGTCTATGTTTGTGCGTCTCTGTGGGTATGTGCAGTGAGGGCGGGTGCCTGCGGAGGCCAGAGGTGATGGCTAACCCTGGAAAAAAATTATAAATGCCTTCTTTCATTTCAATTTTCCTCAAGCAACTGCAATGGGAATTAGACAAGTTTGAAAGATCTAATTTCTTTCTAGGATCAGACCTGATTGCTTTTATCATGGTTAATACTGACTTAAATGGGGGAATTTGTGCATATTCTTTAATATATGGCATATTTGATATATTTTTTAAAAATCCTTGATATACATATCCATAATTGATCAATTGATAGGTTTGGTTGGGTTACACAGTGGGCTTCCCTGAAGGCACTCTAACACAGCCTTCCTATATCAAAAGCAATCCCTTTGGCCTTCAATCTCGCTCTTACATGGCATCCATATAGTGGCCAGGACTTAAGCTCCAGTATTGTACAAGTATGTAAACTAGCAGATTTCACAATCCGATGTCACCCAGACAGAGGCACAGGGTGCCAAGCTCTCCTTTCTAACTGCTCTCTCATCTTGGGCCAGCTCCGGGATCTGAGAACCCGCTGTAGTTAGAAAGAAATCACCTGACTGTGAAGTTCCCTCCTGTCTATTTTCAATCACTATGGTCACAGTCATCATGAGTCAGGGTTCCTCATCTCATGCCCGGCCAGTACAGCCTCCCCGCAGAAGTGCAGGGACCTCTCTCAGGGAAATCACGTGGAGAACACACACTGTCATTCCCTTCAGACTTTCTCATTTCTGAAATCTCATGTATGTTTTAAGAGCCCTCCTTCCCTAGAGTGGAGAAAATTTTAATGACATAGGGAGAACTGTATGTATGTATGAATCTACTGAGCACACTTTTCTCTTGGTCTCTAGAACCAAGAGGTAGAAACTGTCGTTGTTGTGGGTTTGTAGATGAGTAAACAGAGATGAAAAAATTATAACTACCTTCCCCTCAAGTTGGCTGATGTTGTAAACTGGACCTGATTCATGATTCTGTTCTTTCTACTGCCTCTGAAGCACAACTTCAAGTCAAAACAGGATTTCTAACTCCTCAGTAGAGGACAGTGGTCTAGGAATACCATTCTCATTTGTTTCATTTAGCAGGAACAACTTTGCAAGAAAGGAAGAGGAAAAGAGGGAAGCACTAAGGCAAAGTCAAATGGACTCCACTGAAGTGGAAAGAAAAGGAAGCTGGGTATAAGGAAGAGCATGCGGGCAGCACACCGTTCAACGTGTGTCAGCGGGACAAGCTGCACCCATCATTTCAGGATATATGTTCATCTTGCTTGAAGGATTCAAAAGCTTTAAGGTATTGGATTTTAGTTTGGTTGTTAGTTTTGTAAAACTTCACCAAGGTTGGGCTGGAGAGAGGGCTCAGCACTAAGAGCACTTGTTGCTATTGCAGAGGACCTGGGTTTTGTTTCTAGCATCTACATGGTGGTTCACAAACATCTGTTCCAGGAGTCCTGATGCTCTCCTCCGACGTCTACAGTGAAGCATGCACATACATATATGCAAGCAAAACACTCATTCACATACAATAAGAACAAATAAATCTGAAAAAATGTTTTAAAACTCAAAGTTATATGAATATCTTCCACCATATTTATTTTCATTTTCCAATCTATTTGAACATAAAATTCAAACAGATTCTGTAGTTGTATAAACATCAGTATACTAAATAACAGGGTAGTATTTTTGCTTATTTTTCCCCATCTCATTCAATGGCTCTTTCAGGATTCAAGGTTAGATATTCATTTTAAAACCCCTTTCCTTGGTTGAGGATATCACTGAGCATAGCTGGACAAGACCTGGGACCTACCTCCAGCACTAATAAAACCTTTTTTCCTTGCTTGCGACAATGCAGTTGATGGACTGGTTTGGAGATCAGATGTGCAACATGGGTTATACTACCCATGGGCATTGGGTGCCATTCTCTGGGCAAACTTGAAACTGCCTCTCTATTTTCCATATCCCTGGATTATTTTTTTCACCAGCCAAATAATTTTATTTGCTTATTTATTCATTTATTTATTTATTCATTGAGACCAGGCTGCCCTCGCACTCAGAGAGACCCGCCTCCGCCTCCCCAGTGCTGAGGTTAAAGGCATGTGCTGTCACGTCTCGTTTTCTCAAAAACTATTCCTGTGTGTGTGTGGTGTGCGCACAGGTGTGCCCAGAGGCTAGAGGACGCCGGCTACACCGCTCCATCACCAAACCAGCGGTTCTCAAGCCGGGGATCAAACGACCTTTTCACAGAGGTCACACGTCAGATGTCTGCATTGCGATTCATAACAGCAAAAATTATAATCGTGAACTGGAAGCGAAAATAATTTTGTGATTGAGGGTCACCAAAACGTGAGGAACTGTTTTTGAAGGGTTGAAGCATTGGGAAGGTTGAGAACCACTGCTCTAGACCTTGTTTCTTTGGAACAAGGCCTTTGACTGAACGTGCCAGGCTGCAGACCTTGGGATTTGAACTCAGGTCCTTACTTAACTTAGGCTCTTAGTCATGGAACCGTCTCCTCCACTGGAGCTTTTTTTTTTTTTTCCCCTTGGGAATTATTCTGTGAGGATCATCCCTGCTTTGGGTAGACTTGGCCCTGGACACTTAGAGCTGGGTTATTTTTAGTCATCTTCTACTTGGACAGTGGGTTCTTTAACTAGTCACAGTAAAGAAAGGAGTCCCGGGATCATGTCCACAGGGTACGGTCTGTATTTTTACATATCTCCAGCAAAATCTATACAACCAAGGCTTAAGAAATAATTACCATATCCCAAAAGGGGACTGATAAATTTGAGGGAACTTCTGCTCATTTAGGTCATGTCTTTGTTTCCCGTTCAGTTGGTTTACTGAAAAATAAAGATACAGGGGCTGAAAGATGCTCAGCAGTTAAACGAGCTCCTATTCTGGCAGAGGACCAGAGGAGCTGAAGTTTTCTTCTGACCCATTAGGGTGCCTTCGAATAAGCTCACACACCAAAAAGAAATACTAACTGGGTATAGCCATGCATGCTTGTAATCCCAGCTATTCAAGGCAGGAAGATTAAAGTTTGAGATCTGCCTAGTCTTCTGTCTCAAAATAAAACAAAGTTGTAGGGTAGACACTTGCTGGGCATATGCCAGGCCCTGGGTGCTCAGAGTTAGCATAGGTGAATGAGAAGCAGCCTGGGTGGGTGAGAAAGAAGTTAATAGGTAGGTAGAAGGAAGATGGTTGCTGAGGAGCAGAGTAGGGTTAGCTCACCAGAGTTGGTGAAGAATGTGGCTGAGTTTGGTGTCTATGGCACTGAAGGTGGAAGTCAGGGCTTTATGCATGTTAAGAAACTTTCGTTCCACTGAGCTACATACCCAAGGTCAGCCTGTTTGTGCTCATTTGCTTGTTTTTCGTCTGTTTTTTTTTTTTTTTTTTTTTTTTTTTTTTTTTTTTTTGAATCTGAAGATGCAGCCCTGGCTAGCCTGCACCTCTCTGTGTAGACCTGGCTGGTCCTGAACTAGAGATCCACCTGCCTCTGTACTTCCTGAGTACTGGGATTAAAAGTGTGGGCCACTATGCCCAGCTTCCACTTGAATTTTGGTGGTTGCGTCTATGCACTGAGCAAAGCACAGAATTGTGTATTTTGATTTAAAATTTATTTCTCTGTGTGTGTGTACCTTGTTTCCCATGTGGAGGTAAGGACAACTTGGTTTTCACCTTCATCATGTAGGTCCTGTGAATTGAACTCAGTCCCTCAAGCTTGGAAGCCAGTCTGCTTTACCCACTGAGCCATCTCATCAGCTCCAGAAGTCTGTAGTGGATATGTTGTTGTCTCTCCTTTGTTATAAAGTGTTTTAGTACTGAGCCCCAGAAGGAAAAGTAGGGGTTGACAAGGAAAGAAGTTGAGGTTTTATTTTTAATTGGGGGGGGGGTGTGTGTGGGTATCTGTGGGTGTGTGTATGTACGCACAGACATGGGGAGGGCAGAAGACACATTGAGATTGAACTCATGTCCTCAGGCTTTTGAAGCATGTGCTTTTACTTGGCTGAGCCGTCTCATAGGCTCAGGCCCAGCATCAGGGAATGTGACATTTCAGTAAAGGCCATAAGCATAGATCACATGGAGAAAGGATTCCAGACAGGTGGACAGTAACCAAGTCCAGTGTGTGGGGCAGGGAGGCCTGGAGTGATTGAGAGAGTGGGGTAGGGTGCGGGGACACCCAGCAAGCCCTGTACAACTGGGACATTTTCTCAAAAGTGAAGTACCCTTTTTGAACAGAGCAATTCCTTAGTAGGCAGAGGGAGACTGTCCTGTGTTAATGGTGATGGCTGTATTTGTGGTGAAAATCGGTGGAGCTGACTGAATTTGATCAGAAAAGGGGGGGAATGGAGTCGTGGATGATGCCAAGGTTTGGGGCTGTGATGCTGGTTTTTATTGAAATGAGTAAGAGTTCTGGAAGAGCTTGCTAGAGGTGGCACTCAGTGGTAGAGCACCTGCCTAGAATCCCCCAGTGAGGGGCTGGGGTGTGTCTCAGTGGTAGAGCTCCTGCCTAGAGTCAGTGAACCACAGACTTACATTCTAATAGCAAAAATTGTGAATGAAATACATTACAATCTATTCATCTTCAGAACAATTGCCAAGCACTAAACTGTTAATCAGGACTCTGGGCTCTCAGCAGTGGAAGGAACCACTGTGAGTTCCAGGTCAGCCTTTGCTACAAAGAAGGCCCGGTCTCAAAGCAACAAAATAAACAGAAATCATGCAAATGTTTTTCTTCTGTTCCCCATTTGGGTTTGCCTTGTATTTGGCTTGATGGAAGTACTCTGCCCTGACCAGTGAAATGATGGAAGTGTGCTAAGTGAAGGCGTTTTGGTGGTGCCTGAGTGGAGGATGGGAAATCATGAATCAGGAGCAGGTGGAGGCAGGCGGGGCCTGAGAGGCCAAATTCTTCCTGCTCCCTGTGTAGCCCAAGCTGCTCTCTATCTCAGGATTCTCCTGCCTCTGCCTCCTAAAGAACACTTTCCTGAGTGCTGGGATTATAGATGTGCCCCTACCACCCACCCACCTTCTTTCTTTTTGCATCCAGTACTGGGGGTGGATCCCAGGTCCTCTCAGACTTTGAACTTGGCAGGCACTGTCCCTGAGCCACACCCTAACCTTGGGCTTTGGTTTTTGATAAATGAAGTCCATTATTACTTATTACAGCATTATTTACTGTCCAGTATACATTTCCTGCTTCTTATCCATGTGGCCTCTGCCCATAGGTCCAGCCAGCCTTGGGCTGAAAATGTTCAAAAAGGACAAAACGGACTGGAGCGATGGCTTAGAAACCTGTTAGGAGCAGTTGCTGCTCTTGCAGTGGAACTGAGTTCAGTTCCCAGCATCCACACTGGGCAACTCATAACTCTGATCTGATGCCCTCTTCTGGTCTTCTTGAACATGTACTCACATGGCATGCATTCATGCAGATACATTTATATAACATACAGGCATAAGTAGAAATAATGAAAATCTTTCAAAAATACATTACTGACATACTGAATATGTGCAAACTTTTTCTGCCATTATTCCCTAAACAATACAGTCTTCACAATTATGTGCATATTTACATTGCATTAAGTGTTACCAGTTTTTTGTTTGTTTGGTTGGTTTTTTGTTTTGAAAGACAGGGTTTCTCTGTAGCTTTTGTAGCCTCTATCTCTGTAGACCAGACTGACCTTGAACGCACAGAGATCCTCCTGCCTCTGCCTCCTGAGTGCTGGAATTAAAGGTGTGCACCACCACCCCCTAGCACAAGTAATCTTTTTATTTTGAAATATTGCTAACATGGGTATGCATGAAGGTCAGAGAACAACTTTCTGGAGTTGATGGTCTTCTTCCACTCTGAGTCCTGAGGATCCAACTCAGGCTTGCCCGAAAGCACCTTGATTTGCTGAGTCATCTCGTCAGCCCACAAGTCATGTTGAGATGGTTTAGAGTACAAGTGAAGAGGGCAGGGTAGAGATGGTAGCAGAACACTTGCCTAACAGGAACAAAGCTCTTGGTTCAATTCCCAGTTCCTCAGAAGTAGTATTGAGGAGCGGGCAGGGGAGGGGAAAGGAAGGACAGACAGGAAGATAGTGTCCGTTATTTACAGTGCTACTGGGTACTTGGAAGGCCTTGGCCATGTGGGGAACAGGTGAATATTTCTCTTCTGGAACTTACTTCTCACTCCTCGTTCAGAGAGGGGCTGCTGCTCTCCATTAATGTTTATAGTTCTTAAACTACAGATCAAAGATAAGACTGCTGTTATCGGTCCAGCTGGCTACCTGGGTGGAGCTGCCTCTTTATCGCAGAAAGACATTTGGAGTGTGACCTCGTATCCCAGCATTGCTAGGCTTGTGTTCTCTTCACTTGAACTTGCACTTTGGGATGAAGGTCCAGAGTTCTACCACAGTGCAGCTGGTCGATTCTTTGGCATTTCATCATCTAAAAAGCCTTGTTCTATCTTAAGTGTCTGTTTTTCTGCTTCTTTCTAGAACAATGCTAAAGTAGCCGTGCTCGGAGCATCTGGGGGCATTGGGCAGCCCCTTTCCCTCCTCCTGAAGAACAGCCCCCTAGTGAGCCGCCTGACCCTCTACGATATTGCTCATACACCTGGTGTGGCGGCGGATCTGAGTCACATCGAGACCAGAGCAAATGTGAAAGGTACTGGCCTGGCTGCCCTGGAGAGTCCACCATACTCCATGCAGAGAACCAGGGTCCTAGTTCTACAACAGGACCATAGATGAACCTGGATGGTCAGAGTTGGGGAGTGCAGGCTCATTTTAGAGTGAAATTACACAAATGACCAGATGACTGCACTGTTTTGGACTTGGATCTACAAATACTTAAGCAGTGGTGTCTTTTAGAAAGCTTTTAGAACACCTGAGCTGGCACTGGTGTTCATTGGCAGGACACGCCTTTAATTCCAGCACTCAGGAGACAGAAGCAGGTGGATTTCTGTGAGTTCGAGGACATCCAGGGCTACATAGAGAAACCCTGTCTCAAAAGAAGAAAAAGAAAGCTGAGGCTGTCAGGATGATTTGGTGGGTGGGTGGGCTGGCCCTTTCTGTATAAGCCTGGTAACCTGCATTCATTCCCCAGAACCAACAAAAGTGGAAGGAGAGAACCAGTTCTCCCAAGAGTTGTTTTCCTTCCACAGGTGTGCTGAGAACACACACCCACCTCATAATAATAAGTAACTTATTTTAGAAGTATAAAGCAGGACATGGTGATACACACCTGTCACCCCAGCCCTTGGAGGACTTAAGGCAGAAGGGTCATGGATTCAAGGTTAGCATGGGCTATATATCGAGCCCTTGTAGAAAGGTATTGGGTATGGTTGGTAGAGTGCTTGCTTGGCATGCAAGAAGCTTTTAATTGAGTCTTCAGGAAGGTGGAGACAGGAGGACCAGCAGTCCTGGGCTATATAGTAAAAAATAATTTTAAAAAGGCAAATCTGACCAGGCTGTGGTGGCATACGCCTTTAATCCCAGCGCTGGGGAGGCAGAGGCAGTCGGATCTCTGTGAGTTTGAGGCCAGGATGGTCTACAAAGCAACACAGAGAAACCCTGCCTCAAAAAAAGGGGGTGGGGAGCAAATTCTGGACCTGGTTACAAGCCTCCTGAAATCCTTCTCCCCCAGATAGTAAGAGTAATGGGGTGTGATGGTGCCATTGGGAGGTGGAAACAGGAGGATCCCTGCTGGTTCTGTAGAACTAGTCCATTCTGGAGGGTGCTCTTTCCCCTTAGATGGTAGCTATCATTTCACAGATGGGATCCACTAGCTCTGTGTTCCCTCCTCAGATATGATGGCTTCCCTGGGCTCATAAAGGTGACACTGCTCTTTTGGGATGTTCTTCACAGGCTACCTCGGACCTGAGCAGCTGCCAGACTGCCTGAAAGGTTGTGATGTGGTGGTGATCCCAGCTGGAGTGCCCAGGAAGCCAGGTGTGTGTGTAGGGGGAACATCCTGGGGTGGAGGAAGGTAGAGAGAAGGCTCAGTTGTTAAGGGCAGTATTAGAGAACCTGATTTCATATTCCAGCACCCACATTAGCAGCTCACAAATGCTTATAACTCCAGTTCCAAGGGACCCAACACCCACTTACAACTTAGTAGGCTCATCACATACATACACACATATAAATAAAATCTTTTTTTAATAAAATTTTAAAGCCTCACCTGAACTGTTCCTCCAAGGCTGAGAAGGGCTATGGGCTGATATGTGTGGACTTACTTCCTCCATTGTGAAGATCTCCAAAGACTTCCTCCTTGGCTGGGGGAAAGGTCACTTGCCCACCTGGAAGATTAGATTAAGCCTACAGGTGTCTGTTGCCCCTGGTGACAAAATTTGAAGTTGACTGCAAATGTCAGTCACTTAGAGGACCCTGTCCTCCACCCAACACTGCCTCAGGACTCCTGCTAACTGCTGATGGCCCTCAGCAACTGACTCCCATCTGCACCCACTGAAACCTCCCTGTGCTGTATTAGCCATAGCAGAGTACTTTCTTTGTAAGACAGATTTACCTAAAATGGGAGCTCTGTCTGCTGAGTTTAGTAATTAGCACCTGGACTATTTCAAAACTGTGCATAGGCTTTAGAGATGGCTAGTGGGTAGTGGTGCTTGCCACCAAACCTGACAACTCAAGTTCAGTCCCAAGGACCCACTTTGACAGGGACTTTATTATCTCCCTTTTCATCGGCTCTCTTTACTTTAGTTCCTATCATATAAAATGGCATAGCTGGGTTGGAAAGATGACTCAGTGGTTAAGAGCACTGGCTGGTCTTTCAGAGGACCAGAGTTCAATTCCCAGCCACCACATGGTGGCTCACAGCCATCATAATGAGATCTGGTGCCCTTTTCTGGCCTGTAGCTGTACATACAGGGAGAACAGAACACTGTACATAATAAATATTTTTTAAAAAATGGCATAGCTGTAGCTCTGAATATTTTGTTTCTTTGGATCTTGACAAATATTTCAATAATTGTACAAAATGCTTTTTCTCAGAGGACTGAGAAATTTAGTTCCACTCTCACTTTAAGTCATGACCCCTTTTCAGTAAGAGGACTAAGTTTCCCTAAACCCTAATTTCTATTTAAAGAAAACTTCCTACCTTCTGTGAGGGTTGTGTGCATTGGGTTCCAGTAAGGGGATCCCTGCAAGTGTCAGATAGGGGAGCAAACCAAGCAAAGAGATGAGAATGAAAAGTCAGTGCACATTAACTTGTCAACCTGGATCAGACTTCAAGGGAATCTATGGCCAGGCAGTTCATTGTCAGCATATTTAAAACCCAGTACAGTGGGGGAAAGTTTCCAGGCAACAGTAGTCTAATCCCAGGTGCACAATAAAGCTTAAGGTCTGTCTTAGAAACAGTGGAAGGTGAGTGCCAACACCTGCAAGTGGTCCTTACACACACACACACACACACACACACACAGAGAGAGAGAGAGAGAGAGAGAGAGAGAGAGAGAACATTAAAAAAAACGTAATAAATAGTTTAATAGTTTTTGAATTTCATCATGTTCTTTGTTCTTTGTGGCTCTCTCACCCTGGACCACCCCAGGAATGACACGAGATAGAAACATAGAAACAGGCTCTTTTACAAAGTACAGGTGACCATAAGGGTGGGTTCTGTAGCTAAAAGACCTAGAGTCTAGTGTGGCCTCAGACCAGCAGCATAGAGGTCAGCAGTACCTAAGGA